CAAAAAACGAACTCCTTTCTAAAACAATGTTTATATGAATGGATATTCTCAAACAAAAAACACTAGCCTATTTATCAACCTTTCATAGAGCATAGAAATCTTAATCCTCATAAATGTTATCAATGTTTGCCTAGTTAATAGTAATTAACAGTCTCTTAAATTCAAGCACTTGCAATTGAAATGAACAGCTTTGGTACGAACGATTCAATACGATAATAGGCATACTCTTGAGGATTATATCGAGCATTCAGCGATAGGAATTGAAAAGTGATAAACACATGCAAAAAAATGCCTCCTGTCCATATTCGGGGAGAGCGAAATGGGCATTGAAGGGTACCCGTTCCAGGAGATAGTTTCCGTGGGGCGGTAAATTTGATTAAAATTGGTCGGCAAAACTGGCACGTTGATCATTTTCAACAAAGTGGATTCGATACTTCAGAAACTTGACGATTCGTGAAGAGTGGCTCGAAACAGTTTTCGAGTAACTCCGCTAGGACATCAAATCAGTCATTTATTCTACTGATTGGTTTGAAACGAAACGCTCAAATAAACGAAAAAAGCTCCGAACCAAAAGGTATGGCAATGTAGCAGTGATAGTAACAGCCCATCCAATCGAACCAATCCCTTTAAACACTCCAAAGAACACCAAAATCCATGCGATTGCAAGCGATAATGCAAGATGACTTTGGATTGGTCCTAATGCAGCATTGAGTATATCATTCAAACCATCCACATCGTTCGGCTGATACGATAACGTCGTGTTCAATGCAAGTAGCGGTAAGGCTGTTGATTGATACGATATATTGTTATTGTTGCTGATCAGTGTCATACGATCGGCGTCATCGTCCAAGTACATCTGGGCTGTTCGATTCAAAACCTCGTAACTGTAGATATACGGATTTTGAATGAAGATGCTGCAGTAACTAACTATGGCACGATAGTCTGCGCTCGCTTACTTGTATACTTATTTTCAATTGAACATTCAAATCCCTCTTTTTCATATTTATTTAAGAATTCAATACTTTAAGAATTTCTTCATATTCTTAATGGTGGTATATTTTTAAGGAAGCAAATTAATGTTATTTGATCTTTTTTCCATAACCGCAGATTTAGGTTTGCATGAAAAATAAGCGTGCGATATTGAATTTATGAATTATTTATTCTTAGTATACCATGAACAATATTTTGAAATGTCTTCATTGCCGAAACCAAATTCATAATGAGCTGTGATGAGAAGTAGTGATCAACTAACTGGAAATATGCCTCAGGCGACGAAATGGAATGCGCATTCAGGAAGCATTCTGGCGATTCACCCAATAGACAACACGGAATATGCTTTGGCCAATCTGATAATAGAATAGGAATTTTCAATTCATCTCAAATTAACTACACTAGAGAATGCGGAAGAAAAGGTTTGAAAAACCATGAATTCACTAAACTATTTGAGAGAAAATGTCGAATTCAGGGTAATGCATGAAAAGAGCCAAATTTGTGAAGTAGCACGTTAAATCTCAAACTCTTATGTGTTCGTTTATCTGTTGATTGG